AAGCATTGACTCTTGAAAATTTATGTTTGCACAAAAACTTGTGCAAATGTTTAGGGTGGTTTTATTCATAATTGCCAAAATTGTCTTTCAGTTGGTCAACAGATAAATCAAACTTTGGTTCATCCATACAATAAAATACTACTCAGCATTAAAAAGAAATAAACAACTAACATATGCAGCAACGTGCTGACTCTGAAACGCACTATGCTAAGTGAATAAAGCCAAACTCAAAAAACTATCTAATGACATTATGGAAAAGGCAAAATTACACAGAGAGAAAAATAGATCAGTGGTTGCCAAGTGCTTGAGGTGGTGAGACAATGTGACTATAAAGGAGAATTAAGGAACTTTTTGGGGGGATAGAAATGTTTTATGCAGTTACTGTGTGTTGATGGTTATAAGACTTCATGCATTTGTCAAAATCCATAGAACTTTACATTAAAAAGTATAAATTTTACTGTATGTAAAAATTATATCATGCTAAACAACATATAATTAAATAAAGAAATCAGAATGGGGGAGGGAGTTTGATTTGGAGTTTATGCTTTGGGTTAGGGGCTTCATTTCATCATAATATAAATAAGTTTTTTAGGTTTATGCCTTGACTCTCTAAGACTAAGGTAATCACAATATTTTACTTCCTTCCTATAATGAAAAAAATTCTTTTATTCACAGTTGCCAAATAGTACAAATATTATTAGCATAGATTAAATTTGCCTGGTAGTGAAATGAAGTTTTGCAGAGACATGAAGGCTATATAGATCTTATTTGATTTGGAATGGCTATTCCTATATTTGAGCTTTGTTCCTAAATTAGGATTTTAACATCTATTTGGTTCAATGCTGGGAAATGAAATATCCATAAGGAACGATTTGAAGTATCATATTCTTTTATAAGAAAATCTAAGCACTTTAAGTTTTCCCTTTAACTTTTAATAAAACTGTCAGACAAAGCTGGGCATGGTGGTGCACCTGTAATCCCAGTTGCTCAGGAGGCTGAGGCGGCAAGATTGCCTGAGCCCAGAAGTTCAAGGCTGCAGTATGCTATGACAGTGCCTGTGAATAGCCACTGCACTCCAGCCTAAGCAACATAGTGAGATCCTGCCACTAAAATAAAAAACAAACAAAAACTGTCAGACAAATTACATAGTTCAGCAAATATTAATGTACTATTGCATATGTAAAACAAATTAGAAAAACTGTACTATGTAAAACAGTAAAACCATGTCTAACTGATGTCTTAATGTCCTGGAATGCAGGTTTTATAACTTTCTTGTGTCTTGGCCTATCTATCTTCATGTTCTCATTTTGTGTGTAGTCACCAGTTCTTTATAAGTGTATATCAAGAAACATAGGGATAGGGCCACTAAGTAGTTAAATGTGCTCTCATGCAGACACTGAAGATTCAGAAAGCCAAAGTGGGCAGACTCCTGCATTATCAATAGGGCCTGGAAAGAAAAGCTAGATAGATGTGTTGCCAATAATCTTCATGGTATAAATCCTGCCAATGCTTACACAATTTATCTTTAATGCATTTAGTCATTTCCCTCTCCTTCATTCCACCTACCCATTCCAGCAAAGTCACTAAATACTTTTCTTAATTATTCAGGAAGCTCCAGAAAGCTAAAGGAGCAGCTAAACCTAGTTACAATTCATCGTACTCACATTCCTAAAACTCACTAAAAAAACGATATAAAGGAGTGGTGAGAAGAAACTGGAAAATCAAGGTATGTTTCTGAAATACTTGAAAGGGAAGTTAAAAGAGAGGCTACTGGACTTCAGTGCAATAAAGTATTTACAAATACCTGAATGGAATCAACAAATCTCAATTCTAACACGATAATAAGGAAACAGTCAAATTATATGGTTGGTTCTTACTTACCAAATGGGAATTTTAGAAATGTGATTTTTTTTAAAAAAGCTAACTAGTTAAAAATAGAACCATGTGGATTATTTTCCTTGCCATTGACACCATTCCGCCTCCCTCCCCCCAATTTCCTGCATGACCCTAGAAAGTAACTTTACCATCATGTTCCGCTTTTTAACTTTGAAAAGTATTTACTTCAGGAATGTTGGGATCATCATGGACTACAGAAATCTTAGAACTAGAAGGAATCTCAGCAAGTGTGATCACAATCCACTGGGATAGTCTCAAAATTCTTATTCATCATATATGTGTATCCTCTTCTGAAGGATATTAGGAGAATTATGTAGCTAGAAAATGCCTGGCACTAGTACGTACTTAGTAAATACATACTTAAGGAATGGAATGTATTAAATGGATTATAATTGGATTCTGAAAAAAAGCTCAATAAAGGCTCGTGAATGTAGAATACATCTGAAGGGCTCGTATCCCTAGGTAATACAGTTTCTTACATAGTAATGTAATATAGTACCTCCTGATGATTGCTTTAAACGTGTCATTTTTAAAGGACATAGATTGTGTTTTACATTTACCTTTAAGAATGTATAATTACTAGATATTTATTTTATCGTAGTTTTCAGTTCTGTGTTGGCTTAGTGTAAGCTATGAATCGTAAAATTTAAGTTCTAGGATGTCAAGGAAGGAACTGTTTATTTCATCTTTGCATTAAAGTGGCTTGGCACAGTCCCTTGCATACACTCGGCACTTAAGTCATGTAATAGAGACAAACTTGTGTCAAAAGCCCCAACTCTGGTCACTTACTGGCTATAAAATTTTACAGTTCTGGAGTAGTCTTGTAAAGACCTAAGAAATAAATATTCGGATATTAAAGGGATCAGTCCCATTTTGACTGATTTTATTGAAGTGATTCCCACTTGACATTTTGCTATTCTTTGAAGTCCATTAATAAATCATTCCCACCAGGGCAAGAAAAAAACTTTCTAATCTCCAGTTTGCTCACTTATCTACACCTGCCTACAGGGTCATTTCCAAGATCAAATGAGAAAGTATATTAAAGTACCCATAAAGAACAAAGTGTAAAGTCAGCTATTGGAAACATCACTATTTTTTCCAACTGGAGACAAGCCAGCCTCACGGTGAAAGAACATAGGTTTAGGAATTAGACAGATGAAAGTTCCTAGGTTTAAAATCTGAATTCTATCACTTAGTAGCTGTTATATATGATCCTGAGCCAATCATCCTCAATAAAATGGGGATAATGACACCTATCTTACATTGTTGTTATAAGGATTAGAGGTAATTTATGTAAAGTGCTTAGTCCCATGTCTGGCATATTGTGCTAAACACTCAATATTTATTTTTATTATTGCAGGTCAAAAGAAATTTCTCATGTAATCTGTTGTACATTACTTCTACATCCCTATCATATGTAGCAAAGATCACCACAGAACACAAGTATTTCTTCTAACAGAATTCTTTTTAAGTTTCATCATACTAATAAAAAAATACATTTATTATATTAGGCATAGTTATAAATAACTAAAAATGTGGTCAGTCAATAAATGCAAGAAATAGATCCTGGCATGCAAGTTGCCAGGAAAATCATTTATTTATACCTTCGCTAAACCAATATATTATGATTTAAAATGTGATATGTATAGGGATATGAAAGTTAAGAAACTAATAATGTACAAGTAACAGCCAATTAAAGTACCCATGTGTTAAGTAATTTAAAATAGAAACTAAATTCGTATTTTGACAGGCACAAAAATGCTATGGCTGATGATTTCTGCATGTGTTAGTAATATTATTGTTCCTTTTCAATTACAAAGGATACATACTTTCAGAATTATAATGAACCACTAGCAACTGATAAAATAGAACTTAAGAATCTTTTAATTATTTACCAAAATTTAGATGAGTACAATTGAGAAAAGAATGATTTTTTTGTTCTAATATGAAACCTCTGAATTTTGCTTTGTTCTCTTTCAAAAAAGTATTCATTCCCTCAAAGGAAGGTCAAAATCTGAACAGAGAACTTAAAATTCAGAAATAATTGAATAATATGAAACAAAAACACATTTTAGTATCTCTGCTTTTATCCAATCAGTTCTCAGATTTCCAATGAAATGTGACAAAGCACTAATGACCCAATGTCCAAAATGCTCCATCTATTCAAATAACTAAATTAGACAATACCTTTTGGGGCCAGGATACTGACTCCCAAGTCTTTCTTAACTCTGTTTCCTTAAAAACACATCTTCCCTTAACTTTTCCCTGGAGGACTACACTTACTTTACTTTTCTAAGTAAAAGGACTCAAAGCTTCACAAGTAGGAGAAATGACCAGTACTCATGAGCCAAAATCCATTTTTCCACATACACATAATCTCCTTGTCATCTTAGGCTCTTTTCTTTCCTGGTACTCAAACGGTTATTTCACACTTTACCACATCCCAATCCTTTTCACTTGTTGCATTTCCTCTATCCAGAGTATGTGGTATTTCACTTTTCACTTGTGGCATTTCCTCTATCCAGAGTATTCACCCTTATGTTTCTGTGGTCACTTGCTTCTTTTTTTCAGCTTTTCACGTTCTGTCTGTTCAAAACAATGCAACTCAAACAATTTTCCTGATCCAGCTGACAATCACTATACCAAGCTGAAGCAGAGTACATTGGTCAGTTCCATCTGAGGTGGTTCTGGTCTCCAATGACTCTAAACTTTGTCTCACAAAACAGATCCAGCTGAAAATCACGGTGAGGGCAAATAACAAACTGAAAAATTGTGATTAATATGTTTTCATAATACAGTGATTGACAGGAAAATGACAAACTGAAAAATTATGACTAAGATGCTTTCATAATACTGTGATTGACAGGAAAAATGACAAACTGAAAAATTATGACTAAGATGTTTTCATAATACTGTGACTGACAGGAAAATTACTTTGAAAAATGTGGTCTATTTTGATATACAGTATTGACTGTAATATCTTATAATTTATAATCCAGAACCAAAAAGATGATCACGAGAGGAAATTTTTTAGTTTTGCAAATGAGACTCTTTATTAATGCTGTACTTTTAAAATTAAGGGTTGTCTAAATAAATATACTTACATTTTTGAACAGTTGCTCAGCAAGTTCTCTGATATGCTTTATCATCTTCAATGGGTTATTTTCTTCAACTTTAATTCTCTCTACTTCAAAGGCTACCAACTTGGAAAAAGAATCAAATGGCAAAACATCAACTCCAAAATATGCCAAATTTAAAAACTATGTGTAATATCATATAATTTACAAACCGAAAATATCCAAAATACATAGTATTTTTAAAACAAAATATTTTAGGTTTTTGGGTTTCACCTCTATTCTGGGGTTTCAGTGTCAATCAAATCCTTGGATTATGTGGTGGTCCCTCCCTGATGATTTAGGGCCCTATTTCTTCCTGGGAAAAGTCATTTCTGGAACTCAGAGAGACTCTGTCATTCCACAGGGCTCACTCAGAAAATTCTCTCACTCAGCAAGTCAAAAGGCTCCAAACACTTCCTTAACTCACAAAACATGAACCAAATGTTCACGTCAGGCTGCTACAACTCTAGTCCTGGTTCTGCTGTGATCTGGGACAGGTCACTCAAATTCCTGACTTCAGTTTTCTCATCTCTAAAATAAGATGGAAGAACAGATGACTTTTAGGAGATTTCTAGTTCTCAAATTATATATATTCTAGTCCATCTCCCTATTAACTAATTTAGTGAGAGAACTGTGTGAGTACATGTACTTAGGGTGGACAAAAGAGGGCTGACAGGAAAAAAAAAAAAACTTGTGGAAGGGCAAATAGATAGATAATAAAAATAAAAAGGTGCAATATAGTATTCTTCCTTCTAGGAACTAATATATTCACAGGAGCAGATGTACATATAAAATTATGGCTTTAACTATTCTAGGCCAGGATTCAGAAATATAACTTTTTAGTTGTGATGAAGCTGCCACAGAGAGTTAGTAAGGGAAATTTGGATAGAAAAGAAAGGGAGTATGTAAACTAATGTTACTATTCATGAAGCTTCAGAGACTAACAAAATGTAGGCGCTAGAAAGTATCTCAGAGAGCATCTAACTTAATCCCATAAAATATGGGATTAGCATCTAAAGGCTGATATATATATGTTAGTATAATCAATAATCAATCATATTAAACATTAGTAATAGAGAGTCGACAACTAACAACTAATTAGAAATAACTGTCCATTTCAGTATAACATCTCCTAAATCTTCATATGCTTTGTGTTATTAACTAAGGCATGCGATGCAGGACTTCATACTTAGAACTAAAACATGTGCCTCTTCTCTAATTCTTACCTGTGAATACTTAAATATATTTACAGAGAATAAAAGATCCTTCTCCTCTGAACCAAGGATATTTAAGATCTTGATTCCTATCTTCTCTTTATAAAATAAAATCACCAGCAGCAAGATATGACCACTATTAATTACTATTAGCCATTATCTTGGGTGCTATAAGCATTGTTCTTTTATGAACTTCAAGGAACTTTTAGATTTTTGGTTCCAATACAGTGCTCTTTCAGAAATTGAAGTGGGAATAATATTCATTGTTCTATCTACCAGAATGGGCTGCTGTCAATATACAGTTAAATGATAAATGGAAAGATGCTTTTAAAAAGGAGAAAGCACAATAAATGCAAAATAACACCCTTATTATGATTCACATCTGCCCTATTTCTCCCTTCTATTTTATTTACTTTTAAATTTTTAACTCTGTAGGACTGAAGGCATAATTATCCCTTTTATATGGCCAATTCCGTAAAGATAGAGACTAAATCTGTCTTCCATATATTTAGTATCTCCTTCAGGAGCTAGAGAAATGTTGATTATCGATTAGTAAGAATGCCACGAAGGTAAACTATGGCTCTATGACACTGATAGATTAAACTTAACTCCAGTTTGAAGTCACATATCTATACGTTAAAATTAGACCTTTCTCCCTATAAAACTTATTTAAAAAATCACTATATTATTGCCTTCAAAA